TTTATTTTTATTTTTTAGGAAGATCCCAAGTTGCTGAAAGATTCATGAAAGCCAACTCATTTTAGTAGTACGTACTTGGTTTTGTTGCTGTCATGATGATGATGACCGGTGGTTCAAATCAAACAGCGGGGTAATTTGCTCAAATTAATATCTTTTTCCCGGGAGTAGAAAATCTGTAAAGTTGGTGCAACTTGTGGTGGGTTTCTAGTTAGCTATTTAGACTTTCTCTTCGTTTACACATATGGTGACTTTTAGTTGTCTTTCATTTAAGGGTTTGAGGAGCCCTACATGCAAAGTTATGATCCTAAGAAGTCCCGGGTGGGGAGGGCCGACCACATCATGATCACTCTCACAATGATAAGGGACCCATACATTTGGGGTGGGACCGGTGCACGGCCGAGAAAACTCTTATTATAATGGTGCACACAAATGATGTGGTTAAACGGCCTCACTTAAGACTCCATGATCATATGAAAAATATCACGATTATTGGGCCAAGTCTAGCAAGCATCTAGCCTCTTAAGTAATAATTGAGCAGCTTTTTTCCTGCCGTTCCAAATTTATTTGTTCTCATGCTTGTATCTATTAAATTTATGTTCTTTGTTGTTCCTAAATTTTTGTTCTAATTCAAAAGAGGAGTAAAAGACAAACTGATGAATGAAATATTTCCGGAATAGTACATTTCCTTTTGGAAATTTGAAAGAAGCCCATGTTTGGTGGGGTGCCAATAATTATCAATGCATGTTGACTCATGCCACAACATAATTGTAGAAAATGACATGCAAATCACAGATGAATTATGGAGCTAGAGCTAGCTAGGTGTCAAGGCATGCAAACCATGAAAATTTCCCCGAGTGGATTCTATATAGCTAGCTAAAGGAGATGTAGACCAGAACTTGATATGGGCTCAGACCGAAAAAGTAGCTTTCTTCTAGCGATGTTTCACCTAATCCCTTGAATAATTGGACCCAAAACATAAATTCTGTTGTTTTTTCTGCTCAACCTCAAGAACCATACAAACTTCAGATTTTTGCATGACATATTTATTGCGCCCTGTTTTCTCATCCCTTATTGACTTGCAATGGGTTTGTGATTCACGAGTCATTACAAAATACTACAATAATATGATCACGTAGTATATTTTATACACATGTTATAATAATATAAGTAGATATTGTTGATGCTATTTCCTAAAAGAGAAAAAAATAAAACTCAGTTGGCCACCCATATATTAAAGTACATAAAATGTACTGCATTACCGGATTACTATAGTATTATATAAATTTTCGTGATTCGCGGATGAGAATGAGATGAAAATATCTGTGTTTAGTGGATGTATTAAATGAAATTTTGACATTTTCAACTCATGATTCAGTTCAGACAATGAGGTAGTGTTTCATACCGCGTAGATTGGGAAAAAGGTGGGCTGGAGCAACACTTTCATTTCATCCTAGCAAATGATGCAAGACAGATGGGCTCAGATCATTCAATTTTTTATTCCTTCAAAACATGTGTCAGTGAGAACCATCACCGTCATACAGCAAATATTTGAAACAAGTTCATCACCGGAGGCTGCTCAAAAAAATCAAATATATTCATCACCAGAGTGGAAAATAAAAATAAAATAAAGAAAGCACCACGAAAGAAGTATATATATATGTGAACTTGATTTCAAGAAAATTAACTAAACTAATATTACTTGGTTTTGATTAATGATTTGGATGCACGTAAACCAAGGTGCATGTTGGGTATACACATAACTAAAAAAATGATTGCTACAGTTATTTTTTTTTCTTTTCTTTTTTTGTGTGGCAACATTTGTGCATGATTTGTTTCTTACTTTCTTTTAGGTGGCAAAAACTGATAGTCGGCCATTGAACAGAACAGCGCCCTTTTCTATGGGCTCAAGAAAGCAGCAAGATGACAGCTTCCCACTAAGCTGTCAAATGCACATAACCAATGAGGCCAGAGCAGATTCTGGAAACTCCCTTTTGATTTATAATTTTTTTTTTCCTTTTAACAGGAAAAAATTCTTATTACTGGTTTAATTTTTGGGCCCTAAGCAGAAGCCAACAAAATAATGCCAAGTTGTTGGGCATGATGATTAGCATGAATTGGGGACACACGTCATTATCTGGTGCATACAAGATTAAATTTTAAACACGACTTTGCACCCAAAGTTAATTTCTCTTAATTATTACCCACCGTA